AACATCATGTCTTTTTTTCTTGAACACCACAGGGAAGGGTTGTGTCTTCACATATGATGCTGTTGGATCCTATGAGAGGGTTGGATACAGTTCCCAAGGTTCTGGTGCCACGCTCATCACCCCTTTTTTGGACAACCAACTGAAGTCTCCAAGTCCGCTTTTGTTACCTGCCCAGGTCTGGTCTTGATGTCAATTTTTTGTTGACAAGTCTGCTTCCGCAATTCATCTTTCATGGCATTCTGAAAAAAACAATGACCTATGCAGGATGCTGTTACTCCTCTGTCAGAATCAGAAGCCATTGATTTGGTGAAGACTTGTTTTGTATCAGCAACAGAAAGGGATATATACACTGTAAGCTTCTGTTGCTCTTCAATCTTCTCCATTCTTTGTAGTAATTAAGAATCGAAAGGTAAGCCATAAAATGTGACAAAGTAGAAATTTTAAAGCTCTGCAACACAAATGGTAGTGCCCATGCAGCATAACCTTTGAAAGACCCGTTATTGCAAACTGCTGTTCTAGCCACTTTTACCTAATCTTCCTTCTTTGAATGATCAAAAAGAGGTATAGTCATTATAGCTAAACTTGTCACAGGATTAGCTAGTGTTGCTTTCCGCCCCCATGCCCAGGCTCCTAAAAACATATTAGTTTTAGATTGGATGACAAGAAAAGGATGCATACCTTTTTGCCTGGATTATTATGGTCATAGGTTGTGGTATATCTCCTTCGCTACTCCCTGATCGCCCCCTTAAAAATAAATAAAAACAAAATGAGACATACATCTTCTATCATAAACGAAAATAGAACAAGAGAAAAGTGCAAGCACTTTGGAGATTTTGTTGGTCAAGCTTTAGCGAAGTCACATGATAAGCAACTTTATTGTTAAAACCCCTCTTATTTGATTTTGTCATGGACATGACACATTCTTGTCATGTGATATAGGGAGACAAGCTGGAAATAGTCATCCTAAATGCTGATGGTATTTGTCGTGAATACATGGACCTCAGGAAAGATTGATCTTTCTCTAACATGGTGTTGCTGCTGCTGTCAAAGTTGGAACGGGATTTCGGAATGCTCAACATGCATATCTAGGGTCACTACTGGGATGATCCTTTCATTGTTCTCTTGGGCCATCTAATCGTCGATTGGTTTTTCATTGAACACCGTTTGCACTTTGGACTACCACATCTCCTGGTCATTGGAAACTTTGCAATTATGACTTCTGCACTGGAAATTTAGCTCTCGTGATTTGGTATGAGATCTTCAGATTTGTATTTTGAATCATAATCCAAGGTTTACTTCAAAATCAGGTTTGTTACTGTGGAAATTAGCTTTGAAAATGTTTGCAGGGAATTCCTCCCTTTGCCTACACCACACCCTCCCATAAAAACCTTATAAAAAGTAGTGCGGCATCTTCTCTACTAAGGAGGTGAATATTCAAGCCTTCTGCAGCACTCGATTATTGTTATAGCACATACATACACAATCCTCCTATCTCCTCAATCCTCGCATTGAGCAACTTAGTGGGAAAATCAGATTAGGAGGATCTTTAGTTTATTTTCTTTATTTTTTGATGTACAAAATGGATCTGTAGTCTACAAAATGTGTTTTCAAAACACACATCTTCATTGGAAAACGTGTTTTAACTCATTTTTTTAAAATAAAAATAATAGTAGTTTTAATAAATCAATTTAAAATTACAGTTAACTCGAATTGTATTTTACAAAATACACTACTTCATGCCCCACTTTTTATGGAAAATAGGTTAAAATATATTTTTAGATTTAAATTGTGCGTTTTATGTCAGTTTGATCCCCCAGTTTTTTAATTATTTCAATTTTGTCCTTCAACTTTTTAATTTGTATTACTTTGATTCAATCGAAAATAGTAGTTGTAATTTACTAATGGAGATTGTGTCACGTGCCTCACACATGAGGCGCATGCTTTGAAAATTTTAGGGATTAAAATGACACAAATTGTAAACTTGAAAGACCAAAATGATATATATTATAAATTTAGGCGACTAAAGTGACCTTTCAAGTATGTTCACGTGAACATTTTCATTAGTCAACTTAAACTGTAGCTTTCAATTAGACCAAAGGGATACCAACGAGAAACCAAATTAACACAAATAAAAAATTGAGTACCAAAATAACACAAAACAAATAGTTGAGGGATNATAAATTTAGGCGACTAAAGTGACCTTTCAAGTATGTTCACGTGAACATTTTCATTAGTCAATTTAAACTGTAGCTTTCAATTAGACCAAAGGGATACCATCGAGAAACCATATTAACACAAATAAAAAATTGAGTACCAAAATAACACAAAACAAATAGTTGAGGGATATTTTGTCTTGCAAAAAAAGTTCATACCGGATTACGGGTGCAACTGGGGTTGGGCAAACCGAACCCAACCCGAAAAGATTAGGGCTTGGGCAAGAGTTTTTAATACTTGAGTTGAGTTTGAGTTAAAAAACTCTAACCTGAATTCAATTTGGGTTGGTCTCGGATTAAAGTCTCGGGTTCACGGGTTCAACCCGAACCTGACAAATTAAAAAAAAAAATTATATANTACGGGTGCAACTGGGGTTGGGCAAACCGAACCCAACCCGAAAAGATTAGGGCTTGGGCAAGGGTTTTTAATACTTGAGTTGAGTTTGGGTTAAAAAACTCTAACCTGAATTCAATTTGGGTTGGTCTCGAATTAAAGTCTCGGGTTCACGGGTTCAATCCGAACCTGACAAATTAAAAAAAAAATTATATATATATATATATATGTAAAGCATTAGCACTGATTTTTTATTTTTATTCTATCGTTCTCTGTCTCTCTCGTTTATTTTTATTTTTATTTTAGTATTAATACTGTTAAAAATTTAGTTGAAGTTATTGGTTGTTAATTTAGGTGAATATTATATAATATATGTATTAAGTTTAAAACAACAAGTTTATTTTGGGTTCTATCCGAACTCAGCCCAAATTGAACTCGTAAAGTAACCCGCGAATAAGTCCGAAATTATTAACCCGATTTCAACCTGAGCCCACCTGAATTAAACTTGGATAGTACTTGGGTTGAGTTTCTCGACCCAAGGTAGATTTAGGGTTGAAAAAAAAAAAATATATATATATATATATATATATAAGATTAGGCTAGGGTTGAATATACAACCCGCCCGAGTTGCACCCTTAGACCGAACTAATCCAAATTGAAAACAGTAAGTGATGATACGACGTCGTAGCTAGACATGTAAATTATTGGATTAATTGTACTAAAAGTTCTTAAAGTATAAAATTTATCTCATTTTTGTTCATAAATATTTCAATTGTATCATTTTGGTCCCTGAAAATATTTATTATGTTTTTATATGGTCCCTTAAGAAGATAATGTCTAAATTACTAATATTTTTTATCATAAACTTGTCACGTAATTCTTAAATATGGACAAAAAAATAATTTGGATAACTCTTGACCAAATTTTTACTTAAATTTTGGTTAAATAGTTACCCAAATTACACAGTTTAGATTACAAGCTATCTAAATTTTGGTCAAAAATTACTTATATTATACATTTTTTTATCAAAAATTACCTAAATTTTATTTAAGAGCTATCAAAATTATTTTTTGTCCATATTTAGGTATTACATAATAAGTTTCTGATAAAAAAATTATTAGTAATTTGGACGTTGTTTAACTGATGGACCATATAGAAATATATTCAATACTTTATGGACCAAAATGATGTAACTAAAATATTAGGACCAAAATAAGATAAGTTTTATATTTTAGGACCTCCAATGCAATTAACCCTCAATTATTTATTGACACAGTAAAGATTTTCCGCCATGTTGACCGTCACTGATCTAGCTAGCATCGTCGATCATGGATTCCAACACTCAGGTACTCTTTCTCTCTCGCTCACACACACACACACACACATGGAGGCAAAAAGAATTCGAGTACTGCGATTGAATACATATTGTAAAATTCTGATCAGAAATTCACTATTGATTNGCAACAAGTTTATTTTGGGTTCTATCCGAACTCAGCCCAAATTGAACTCGTAAAGTAACCTGAATCAGTCCGAAATTATTAATCCGATTTCAACCTGAGCCCACCTGAATTAAACTTGGATAGTACTTGGGTTGAGTTTCTTGACCCAAGGTAGATTTAGGGTTGGAAAAAAAAAAAATATATATATATATATATAAGATTAGGCTAGGGTTGAATATACAACCCGCCCGAGTTGCACCCTTAGACCGGACTAATCCAAATTGAAAACAGTAAGTGATGATACGACGTCGTAGCTAGACATGTAAATTATTGGATTAATTGTACTAAAAGTTCTTAAAGTATAAAATTTACCTTATTTTTGTTCCTAATATTTCAATTGTATCATTTTGGTCCTTGAAAATATTTATTATGTTTTTATATGGTCCCTTAAGAAGATAATGTCTAAATTACTAATATTTTTTATCATAAACTTGTCACGTAATTCTTAAATATGGACAAAAAAATAATTTGGATAACTCTTGACCAAATTTTTACTTAAATTTTGGTTAAATAACTACCCAAATTACACAGTTTAGATTACAAGCTATCTAAATTTTGGTCAAAAATTACCTATATTATACATTTTTTTTATCAAAAATTACATAAATTTTATTTAAGAGCTATCAAAATTATTTTTTGTCCATATTTAGGTATTACATAATAAGTTTCTGATAAAAAAATTATTAGTAATTTGGACGTTGTTTAACTGATGGACCATATAGAAATATATTCAATACTTTATGGACCAAAATGATGTAACTAAAATATTAGGACCAAAATAAGATAAGTTNAACGTTGTTTAGCTGAGGGACCATATAGAAATATATTCAATACTTTATGGACCAAAATGATATAACTAAAATATCATGACCAAAATAAGATAAGTTTTATATTTTAGGACCTCCGATGCAATTAATCCTCAATTATTTAGTGACACAGTAAAGATTTTCCGCCATGTTGACCGTCACTGATCTAGCTAGCATCGTCGATCATGGACTCCAACACTCAGGTACTCTTTCTCTCTCGCTCACACACACACACACACACACACACACACACACACACACATGGAGGCAAAAAGAATTCGAGTACTGCGATTGAATACATATTGTAAAATTCTGATCAGAAATTCACTATTGATTCACCATTATAGGCTTCGAAGCTAGTATTGTACTCTTTCTGGCAAAGCTCGTGTTCGTGGCGCGTCCGCTTTGCCCTAAACCTCAAAGGTTCTCTCTTTATCATCTCCACGCATTCCAACATTTGTCTGACTGTTCTTTACAAATTTTCCTTGTTAAGATAATTTCTTGTTGCTTCTGTTTCTGGAAATTGGGTATTCAGGGCTTCCGTACGAGTACAGAGCTGTCAATCTTGTAAAAGGAGAGCAATTTTCTCCAGGTGATTCATTGATTTGTAGTGGAACATATACTGATCGGGAGATTAAGATGAATCCAAGGCTTTTTATACATTTTATGCTGAGTTGCAGAGTTTGAGAAATTAAATCCTCTTCGCTGCGTTCCGGTGTTAGTCGATGGTGATTTCGTACTTTCAGACTCCTCTGCGATCTTGCTGGTTTGTAATCTTGATTGAAGTGTGGTTTGTAATTTTGTTCTTTTTTCCCCCATTTCTATCAAAATTTGCTAGCTTAATCTTTGGGGGCAAATTCATAATTATTAGTATTTGGAAGAGAAGTATCTCCAGAATGCGCTATTGCCGGTTGATCCTAAACTACGAGCTGTCAATCTTCAGGTTAGTTCCAAGTGGTTGGTTTTTTGTTCGTAGGAGTAGTTGGTACTTGTTATATAGGAAGGAATTTTATTTTACGGAACTTGAGGATATAGAATTTCACTGTGGTGCCCATAAAATGCACTTCTTATGATATACCCTGCATCATGTGCCCTGCATGCTTGTAAGCTTTATTTAATTACATTTGCTCAATTGATAGTTGTAAGTGGAAGCTAATTACAATTTATGGCTGTTTGAAATGTTATCAAGTAGATGGGCTATTGATGATGCAAATGATAAATTGTAGGTTTCTTGGACTTGGGAACAATGAAACCAGACTTAGGAAGCAGAGTAGCATTTGGTTCCCCCCATTTTTGTACTAACTTTGAAGCACATGATGGGAAAATATACGGAGTCACACACTTGCATGCGCACACTGCATATTTATGCACAAAATTCAACACGTTTCTTCCTGGCAATTGATAGAGGAGTATGTTGTGTTACAGGCTGCAAGTATCATCAGCTCCAGCACACAGCCCCTTCATATGTTATCAGTGCTGGTATGATGTGGTTGATTCATTCTTTTCGTGTCAGATGATACTGTATAAAGAGTTATAACTTTTAGTGTAGTTTCTCATGGTTCCATCATTCCTGCAGAAGTATATAGAGGAAAAAGTTGGTCCTGGAGAGAAATTATCATGGGCTCAACATAATATAGAGAAAGGCTTTCATGGTAATTTTTTTTTTCCCACTGAGTTGTGTTTGTT